CTCGGCAGATTTAGACTAGTGCGCTGCCCTGCTGTGCCAGTGACGTGGCATGCGCCTCACGACGTCACATGACTCATGTCCCGGATACTTGAGGACAGCTTGCTATGTGCTAAGCTGCTTCAGCTTCTCACAAGCATGACCAATCGTTCGTGACATGTGGTGACTTCAGGAAATTCCCGGTTGTCATTGCATCTGGCAAGATCAGGCCGTTGCAGCAGAGCGGGGTAGCAAGGTGCAGGAATAATCGGGATACTATTGGGATATATTGGGATCCTTTGTTCCGTGGACCAGCAGTTGAAGCAACTCGCCATGGCACGCTCTGCGCGCAGTTTGGTGGGCTACATCTGGTGCCGGGCCTGAGAGCGTTGTCGCAAAAGCCTCCGCAACTGAAAGGTGAGATTCTGCAAGCCCGAACCTAGCTGCACGAGCTGCATGGCATTCTGCGTTCCACGCATGCCTGCAGGCTAACGTGTCAGCTCGGGACATGCCGTTAGATATCTCCGTTAAATTAAGTTGTATGTATGGATGATTATGGCTGTATATGCCAGCATGCCTTGCAGGCAGGCAAGTCACAAGGCTCTGAAATGTCCTGAATCACTCTGAAGATCGCGAAAGGTGCCTGGTGGTTGCAGAGGGAGCCGTCGTCGACCTCGCAGAGTGGTCCTCTGCCGGCTGGTTCGTTCAGAACGACGGGGTGCTCCCTGGCAGCAGCTGCGGTTCGTTGAACTTGGCGGCCCCGGTGCTCGGAGCGCTGTGTTCACGCAACCCATAAGATGTCATGTCTTGGCGGTGCTGACTGAAAGTCGCTCCAATGTTCCAAGTTTTCCATTCACACTGCTCTTGCCACTTCAACAATTCAGGGTAGGTTCAGGCCAGTTTTGTGTAGCAGAGCATTCTGCTGCCGGGCGCGGGTAGTGCTTGTCGAGTTTGCTTTACTCGGGAACCTTATAAGGTCTTGAGTCGGAGTTGCCAAGCCGGGCTAAGGCTTTTGCTTATTTCGTCACTTCCCTGTCTCAGGTGCCCCCCCCCTCACCCACCCGCTCCGCATTATCAAAAGCTTATCCGCTGTGGACGAGAATCGGTGCCAAGGATGGGGGGCCGGTCCAGTGGCAATCTCCAGGCATGCCAAGGGGTCTTTAGGCTCTTGATCTGTTAGGCCATGTTGCAGTTCTGCCAGGTCTCTGACTCTGGTGCTCGCTTCGAGGCCTCCCTCTGTCGTCGAGACTGAGTTTGTTTGCTCTCCACACAGATGTGCAGGGGAGCATCAACGTCGACGGGGGCGGCTTCGCGTCTTTCCGGCGAGACTTCGGCTGGTTCGGCGAAAGAAACCTGCGAGATTATGCAGGGCTCTGGGTGGAGGCAGGATGCAATGTTCAAGCCTTGGTGCACTCAGGGATTCTGCCACCTGCTGGATGCAACGGGGAATACCGGAGAAGGGTCTTTTGCTTTTGGCCGCTCGTGAATGCCCCTTGTGCGTCGGGCGAGCTTCATCAGCGACTATAGAAGCCTCCTTTCATACTCAGCTTTCCCGCCCCGGTGGCCGGAAATTTTATCCTGGTCCTGCCATCGTCGCATCCAAAAAGGTAGCCAAGAGCTCTGTATAGACATGCCCATCGTGTGTGTAGTTTCCCTGAACTTGTTTCCCATGCCATATGCTGCCGCCGACTTTTCATGTTCTCCCCGCACGTTAGTCCTGTTGAAAGGGCTGCTGACGAGCGGTCTCACCAGTGACCAGTGGACACGCTTTTCGCATCGCGAGACAGAGAGACCGTTGCTCTTCAAACCATATCGCAGTCGAGTCAGGAACAGTGTAGGGCAAGTTCTCGAAAGCTGGTTTGTTCTAGCTGTTGTAGCCGTCTTATAATTAGTTCGTCCCAGGGACAACCGCCACATTGAAGAGCAGCGGTAGCAGGCATCTTTCACTCAGCTGCCACAGCCAAGCCAGGGGTGTGTCGATCGCAGATGGGGTCTTGTGCCGGACGCTACATTGGAATTGTTGGATGTCTTGTGGCATACCTAGTTGCGATTTTGATCTTCGTGTCTTCAGCGAAGCTGTGGAAACACAAAAGGTTCTTATTGTCGGACGCATAGACAGGTCCACCCTGACTTTAACCTTGTCCATTTGCGAATCCTGGGGTATTCGCTTGCAGCGACATGGATGACACAATCACGTGAGAGCACCATGACTCTGAGAGCTCTCCTTAATGCTGCAGGTGGATGCGCTGGCGGAGAGCAGCCTGGCGCCAGTGGCCATCCACGTGGAGTTGGATGATTCCTCCGAGCGTTCGGGCAACTCGGCTGTCGCATCTCTCGCAGCGTCACAGCAGCGTAGCAGTTCGGAGCTTTCAGCAGTGTCATGCAATGACTGTTGTGTCCGAGGATTTGGTGCGGCCATGGCCATTCCGCCAGGAGCCATCTTGGGTCAAGGTACGGCCCTGTACGCTGGAGCTCACCAGCCGGTTCTGTATCGCTTGAGGATTATGGATCGGCCTTCAGAATCCTGACCTGCATTTGTGTTTGAAGTTTCGTTGCCTGTTTCTATGACAACGCAGGACCTGCAGGATCCACCTACTCCGCCTTCCTCCCCTTCTCCTGGTTCCGCAAGCAGTTGCTCCGCTCCTGCCGAAACTGCATCCTGAATCCGGGCCGAGTTACCGGTGTCGGCATCGTGGTTTTATACCAAGAAGGCTTTTTCAGCTTCCGTGTTCGGAAGATTTATGCCGTCAGCTCGGAGTCGGAAGTTCCTTCTTCGGCGGGCCGAATGCCCTCTCTGACGACGTCGGACTCCGCTGTTTGGAAGATGATCCGGGCGAGCGTACTGCGAGGCTCCTATGCTTGGAACCAGGGCTACCCCGAGCAGTGCGGGGCCCTCTACAATTCCACTGCCTTCGTGATCAGCTCCGCCCGGAATATATCAGAGACAGTGCAGAGCGTTGCCCGTGCTGCCACGTCCTATGCGGAGCAATTTCCCCTGAACCTCGGAAACAATGCGGCTTGGATCTACCGACGGAGCTTCGACACTATCTCAGCTGCCTACGAGGGTTCCGCACCCCCACCAGAGTCGCGCTACCCGCAAGTGGCTCATGGGGATTGGGTGAGGACCGCGATGTCGGGAGGTTCGGTACAGCCGTTGCCAGTGAGCGACCTGGCGAACGAACTGCAGCAGCAGATGGTTAGCGGAGCTCCTGGGCAGTTCGCTTTGCGAATTCTTGCATTGCTGTCTGTAGGATGTATGCACTTCTTGGTTGGTTTGGCAGATTGAAGAGGACTTATCTGCTTACGCTGACTCGACGGTTGAACTTGCACTGTACAGTTGTAGTTAGCTTGGTGTAGCAGTTCCCGATCTGCAATTGCAGATGCACGGTGATGCTACGATGTGTTTCCTGCGTGTGCAACGCGCGCATTTTCGGCGCCCATTCCCATGGTGAATTGGCCTGACGGGTCATGTCCCAGAGCTGGCACATGACCGTGTTGCCGGCATTCAGTCCATTGTATAGTTTCCATGGCTTAGCGACCCCACAGACGTCTGAGAGCCGAGACTTCCTTGAGCCCGCGAGGCAGTCTCAAAGCATGATGTGAAGTTGCGCAGCGATTAGTCGGACGCATGCAAGGAACAAGAGGCCGCCTTCCAAGCACAACAGGGACACGCTGGAGCTGCTCTGCTTGACTGGATCTCGTGAAAGGCAGATGAGGCAAGTGTTTTGATGACAGACTGACATCCCAGGATTCTTCGCGAAGTGCTTCGCGATCCGCTCCTCACTTCGGAGTCGCGGCGCATGAACACGAAAAAACCTTGTAGGATTTTGGAAAGAAGGGGTGCGAACCACACTCTTGGAGGTTCGGACAGGTTCGTGTCCCAGCGAAGCTTCGCTGAGGAGATGGAGGAGGCTGCCTGCCTGCGGCCCCAGCAGGCGGCATGGTGCATGGCTATGCATGGCTGGGACTAGGAAGAAGTGTTCTCATGCTTCTTCTGAAAGGGGACCCATGGAGACGCAACGAGACTCTGATCTCAGGGCTGAGATCTCTAATTGCGGGGTGTCGGGGTTCCTCCCTTTGGGTGCCGAGCACCGAAAATTCGAATGGGCTTGCTAATAACCCTGGAATACTTGGACTTCCGTGTTTTGTGCTTCGTTCCGCGGAGATTTGCACGAACTCTCGGGAGGCCGAAGCTTTTCATTTTGGAAGCATGCGTTTTCTGTTTCAGGAGCTTTTGACTGCTTAGCAGTGCTTCGCCATATACTCCCGTTTTCCGGGCATCCTCCTCGACGGTGGCAGGTGCCAGACTTCCTTGCCAAGGCCGGGGACTGGTAGAGACTGTCAGGACATCCTTGCCAACTCAGGGCAACTCAGGGCAACTCAGGATGCCCCAAAGATCGCAGCAGTCTACTTGACTTTGAGGCCGTGGCCGAGGCCGCCGCGGCTGTGCTGGGCGCTGGTGTTAGTTCCGCGCAAGGCGCCGTGGCCCCGCAGCTCGGGCCTATGGTTTGTGCGGGGGTTCCGCACCCGGGTTCGGGGAAGCATGGTGCATCGTGTCAGTGTACCTGAAGCAGCGCGTGGCATGTGGCATGTGAGGTTGTGAATTTTTCAACGGCAGGTTGTGCCTGCGATTCAGTTGGAGACGAAAGCTTTGATTTCATCCCTTTCTAAGTAGGTCATCTGCGGAGCCTCATTCGTGAAACGGCGCCGCCTCGGAGTCTCCGAGGAATGGCAAGCCGCAACTGCTTGTCTGCGTGAAGAGCGCGCTCGACGGGTATGACCGGAGTGCCACTTGAGAAGAGACGGTTTTGAAGCGGGTCTCGTCTCCAGGGGCACGACAGGGAAATGTGAGAGGAGGACTCTGTGCATGTTGCGATCCGAAGTCTCCATGGAGGCTCTCCGAATGGGACAGACAAGTTGCAGGAGGCTTTGTAAGGTTTACAACATGGCATGTGGTCCCTTTTCAGGAAGGGTGAGCAGCCCGCATTAGTCACTGGGGGAACGCATTCTGGGCATCTGAGGCCATGGCGGTGGCGCTGAGCGCTGCTTGCCTGTGATGTCTTTAGTTTGGTCGCAGCATGTCACAGACGCCGATTCTCGTGACCTTGTGCCCAGGAGCGTAGTGTATGATATGAGCTGTGTAGGCAGTAGTTTCTTCCGGCAAGAAGTTTACAGAGCCGACCGAGATTCAGTTGGAGTGTGCCGAGGCCTTGCTGGATGTGGACGTTCGTGTGCATCGTCACGGCGTGGCGGTGAACGTGGAAGACAGGTGGGATCCAGACTTCGAAGCCTGCCCAAACGAATGCGAAGTGAGACGCACCCCCCGTCCCCTCGCACCGCACGTGGAAGACTTTGAGGGTCCAAAGATTCTATCGACGGGTCTCGGGCTGCATCGGGCTGCACAGGATGGACGTGGAAATTCTTCTGGAGACGGCTGAGGAGCAGTGCAAGCGCAGAAGCCGAGGCAGGGGCACTGGCGTCCGACTTCGGTTAACGCGGTTAAGGCTCCGGATGAAAAGGGGGCCATGCATTCTATTGAGGATAGAGGCCTTAGAGACGTTTAGGTTTAGGCCATATGGAATTGAAACATAAACAAGCTACAAGCAACCCGAGAAAGAGTCTAAGAGAACCACCACGACCCATCCCAGCCGCGAGAAGCATGAGATTGGGCCTCCGAGGCTCAGACAAAAAAGGTAACCATATTTCAAGATTAATTGTGACCCAATCAGGGTACGAAAAGGCTACTAAGTCCTACGACCCTTAACGTAGCATTCGAGGATCGAAAAGATAGAGCCGTCGTAGTTATTGAGGCCCTCGCAGCCTCTTCGCTATCTCCTATCTTACAGTGGCGGAAGACTGGGACGAAGCGGTGCCTCGTCTGAGAAGAAGCGGGGGGGTCTCTGGCAGATATCTAGAGGTGAGCATATGGAACCAAGGACCGACGCGGCGAGGTCGGGCTGGTTGTGTGGCACTGGAGTTGTCGCTTCGGGAGATGGCAGGAGCTGGTCCGCGCCAGCCCGCAGATGTCCTGGGCCATCGCTCTTTCCCGCCGCTTCTGCTCCATCGGGCGACTGCCAGGCAGAAGGTCGAAGGCGGCCGGGGGCATTTTTTCCGCGGATCTCGGCCAGGGCTCCGGATGAACGGCCACCGTGCCGGCAAGGGACCCCAGGCCGGATTGCAGGGCGATGGCCACAGCTCAAAGTGCAGTGAACAGGTCATGGAAATGGTCTTGCGAAATCTTGCTCTGCGGATCAAGGCGGCAGGGACATGCAGGGACCATGCGAAGGGGTCATCAGTCCTTGGGTCTACGTCCTTACGCAAGTTTTACAGCTGAACCGACACAGAGGCTAAGAGTCTGAGAGGATGGTCACCGCGAGCTTCCACTTGGTCCCTGGAACCCAGCGGCGTCTCAACGAGATACTCCGACTGAAACGCCCAAGCCCAATGTGCCTTTCATCCCGACTGCGCGGCAGTGTTGGCCTTGACGAAGTCTATCCTGCGTCAGTCCGCTCAACCTGCTGTTGTCAGGAATAATTCATCTGGCGATGGCCGATAGCCGTAGTTACATCAGATCAGTGATCGATGTGCGAGGATCGGGATGCGGAGACACTGAAGCGCTTCGAGCAGTTCTCGGCAGTGTCGAACACCCAGGACCTGGCTTCCTCTCCGCTCCGCCTTTCTCCTTACTGTAGGCCCTCTCGGGGTCTGGACTGCACTGACTGCACCCTGTGCCACAGGACCATGCGGTCGGTACGCGCTTCGTGGTCAGCATGGCCAAGGCAAGTCTGAATCTTCCGGGGGTGTTCAAAGATCACCGTCTTCCCAGGAGGTTCTCGAGTGGAGCAAGTCCGGCCCTCTGGGCTTGTGGCTGAAGGACTCAGTCTTTCCGCTGAAGTCCCGTAGCGAGTTTGGCGGATCAGTAGCGGCAGCCGCGGCTTCCACAGGATGCAGAGCTCTATGCCGGAGAGAAAGGTCGGAATCAAGCATCAGCGCTGCTACGCATCCCTGCTCAACTGGTTGCATGCGGCTTTTATTCCAGGTGTCCGTTCCAGGGACGCTTCCTTGAACTTCGGTGTGTTCCTGCCTGGGGTTCAGCTGCTAGTTGGCAGCGCGAGTAGGTCGGTTGCTGTCATACAAAGTGCAACTCCCAAGTTCAACACACTTGCGGCTGCCGTGTGGGTTTCGGGCTTCTGCTTTTGCATCCCATCTGCTGGGCTCAGGTGCAGCCGCTGACAGCCTGGACGGCGAGGCGCATTGGGTCGCTGTGTGGGCTCCTGCTCAGCTCTGCTCCGCTCCGCTCACCGGCCGCGGGGCGGGCCCCCTTGAAAGCACTGCCTCGCACTGCTTCGAAGGTGCGAGGCCTCGGCCACACGCAGAGCCTCCAGCTTCCGCGTGCTGACGATGCCGCGGGGACTCATGAAGCACTTTCCTTTCCTCAAGTGATATCAAGCGATATCGCAGGTGGATGATGGTTTTGCTGTTTTGCTGGACTGGGCTGGAGCACGTTTGTCTGTCTTTTGCTGGCACTACGCTGGCCAAGGACAGCCCCGCAGCTGCAGTCGACCGCAGCATCACGAAAGGTCGGGCTTGTCGGTTTTTTGGAGCAGGCTCGTCGTGTGCTTCCGACCCGAAGCTCGGAGGCGTGCGCCTGGTGCATTTCGGCTGCTTCGAGCAGGCGCAGGAGCAGCTGGACCAGGCGAGCAGTCGAAAGCAACAGAATTTGAAGCCGTTTTCAGCCTGCGCTTTCTTAGTACGAAGTGTGAGGCTCGGCTTCGCCTTCAGCAGCAGCACTTCGAGGAGGAGCCGCCGCAGTCCACGCCGGCGCTTTGCGGCTTTGCTTCTAGAATCCAAATGTAAACCCTCTCTTCCCAGGGGATGCGCGAGAGTTTGACGCTCGCAGCTTGCCTGGCCTCCTCGCTGCTACAGCAGAAGCGACTCTGTCCCCGATGGCAGTGCGTTACAGTTCGGTGGATGTGGTCAACGTCTCTCTGTGTGTGTGTCGGTCCGAGGAAGGGTCGGAACGATCTCGTGAAGGAGCTGAAAGCAGAGTGCCTGCAGGCGCTTGGGGCGATGCCTGGGCTTTTGAGGCCTTGGAGCCTGAGATCCGCCAGTGCTTGACAGTCGCTCCACCGTCTGGAATCCGCCACAAAGCGCCCCAAGCCCGTGGCATGCCCGTGGCTTAGGGTGCGAGCGATGAAGTCGGCAGCTGAGCCGAGCCTTGGACCTTTGCCGAGGCTGGCACAACTTGCCATTGCTGCTTCGGGTGTTGCCATCGTCCAAGAGGCCGGCCCCAAGACTTAATCGATGCAGACTCGAAGGAACGAAACTCGGCTGAAACTCATGTGGACCGAGGCCCGCCGCGAGTTCCATGGCGCAGGGCGGCCCGGGAGCCCAGTGTCCTTCACTGCCAGAAAGCACCGTTGTTCACCGTACTGCTCAGCCACTGCTCAGCTATGGCTTCTCCTGAGCTCTTCACTCCGTTCTGCCCGGAAGCGTCCCGAGGCCATGGAGACCTGGACTGGTCGAGCATGGAATGCACAGGCCCGCCCTGCTCCGCCGCAGGGGGCATCGCGAGCTTGGTAGAGTGCCAAGGTGCGTTGGATTCCGACATCCTCGAGGACCTACCGGATTCAGGCCGCCATACGAATTCGCATGGTCGTCGCGCTGGTGTCTGGGCTGCGGCTTTCGATTGGGGGGACCGGAGCGAAGGTTGCAGGGACTGGTTTTCAGCACTTCCCGCGAAGGCCTCCAGCGCCGGGTCCGTGCACGTAGCCGCCACTTGATGAGCTCGGCACCCGGCCTGTCCCAGAGTTTTCCATTTTCGACATGCGTTCCATGCCTATGCCTTCCATGCCTTCCGCCGTGCGTAAGGTTACCTCATGCCTCTCACAGGCTGTTGGGGTGCGTGGCAGAGCCTTGTTTTTAAAGGACCATAGGTTCACTGGGCCGGCCGCTTCTTCGTGTAGTGATCGTGGATCCATTCAATCGACAGGCGAGCGCTTCGCATCAGATGCTTTGGAGGCCCCTCAGGGCGACGGTTCTGCACTTTTGGTAACGGTGAACAAGGGCACCATGTCGTGCTCCGAAGAAGGATTTCGGATGTGGGCACTGAAGCGCCAGGTGCACCGCATCGAGGCTGGCTTGGCGAAAGCCTTGTGCTGACAGTGCGTCCCGGGCTTTGTGGCCGTGGAGAGAGGTGAGATGTAGGATGTATAGAATGTAAACCAAATTGCGCAGTGCGAGAAAGAAGCTCAAGCGGAGGAACGCGTTCCAAAGGAAGTCATCCCATAGCACGGCCACAGCCTGATTAGCTGGTGCGAGCATGACCCGATCTGCCGGGTGAGCTTCCACGGCCGAGTCACGCTGCTTTAGCCCAGGGCATGCCCCAAAGCTGCGGTAGTTGATCCAACTCCTTCCAAGTCCAACCGCCATTCGACCCTTCTCGCATACCAACTAGCAACTATGTTTATGTATGCCGGGACCCAGCATGGAAATTTGTTGAATCCTCCGTTGTTCTTCTGATGGAATTGTACGGAGTTAAAGAGAGTCACTCGATTTGCAGGAGTTTAGAGAATCACTGCAGGGGCACGTCTGAGGGCTTTCTTTATGGCATCGGTTCCTGCACGGTTTCAGAACTGCCGAAGCTGGCGGTGCTGCCTTGTCACTTCTCTGGCTGCTGGTGACGGGGTACGTTCTTGGCTTCTTGTCTAGCCTGCATGGTGCAGGCGGAATAGTGGCTATAACGCACTGGACGGTCTGACTCGAATCTCCCATGGACAAGATAGGTATTTGCAGACATGCCAGCCCTCAACAACTGTTGGCAGTACTGTGGCTGAGATTGCAGTGGCTTCTTCGTGTAGTACGTGTAGTCAAGCTCGCACCAAAGTATAGATGATCTGTTGATCTGCTCTGTGAGAATCTCTGGCAGGGGTTTGCTGCACTTGTAGCCTCATTGGGGTCTGAACATGGGGTTCGATGTTGAGAACGATCTTTCGCACCACTGCGGCGCTATGATAGCCGTGACTGACTCTAATGGCAGAGCATGCTAGAGATGCTTATCAGCGAGATTTGACGAGCTCCGCGAACTTGCTTGTGGGTTGAGGCAGGAGTCTTGGCTGTCCACAGAAGGATGTCCCCATGCAGAGGCATGCTATCGGATTTAGTTCGGGACCAGTTGCAAGTGCAACGCGGTGCAGCGCTGCCTGTGCTTCTGGACCGGCCCGGATGATTGGTTTCTGGAGCTCAACAGTGGCTCCCAGGTTGCTGTACATTGCACACATGTAGCACTCATGTGGCTAGTGTCTGAGGCAGCAAGCAACGCAATTAGCACCCACACACACACACCCTCTGTTTCTGAGAAGCTCCTGGAGTCTTTGCTCGCTCCCTCACCGGCACTTCCCCCGCCACATGCATCGCAGAAGGATGACCTGGGGACACGTGGGATTGTCTCCAGAGTCTGCTTGAGCTGTGCGTTGTTGTGCATGTTTTCAGTGGAAATCCGGCGGTCCGACAGTGTAGCAGAAAGGAGCTTGCAAATCTAGAACAATGGTTCCGAACTCGAGTGGTTCGGTGATGGTTTCGGAGCCGTTAACGGACAGCTCATATACCTTGTGATCACCTCCTGTACAAAGCTGATGTCTTTAAGTTATCTTCCTCGGGAGAAGGTGAACGATCAGAAGCCACTGAAGACTTGAGAGGATTCATGCTCAGGCCATCTTGCCGCAAGATCGGTTCCCTTTCCTGATGCCCATGCACAAGGAGTGACTAGCCGACAGGAGTGGGGCTGAGGCCCAACTCCTACTCTGGCCACCTTCTTGCGCTGCGTGGGGTCCCAGAGGATGGCCCACCCCCTGGGTGCAGCCAGCGAGGGCACAGAAGGACATCTCGGGTACGAGTTGCCCTGGTGGCCTTCTGTCGTGCTGAGATGCGCCACAGGCGGACAGACAATGATTCGAAGACCCTCTTCGGCACAGCTCCAAGTGTGCATCCGAGGCCTGCAGGTTCAAGCCACGTCATTGACTCGTTGCCGCCGGCGCCGTCCTGTAATTGATTAATCTGTTCTGCCAGTGCGATGAATTCGCTAGCATGTCCTCAAGTTGACAAGCGGAAAAGTTAAGAGTGCTCTATCTTCTTGCTCCAGGCTCGTTGTTTGTGCTCTGTCCTTCAATGGAAAGCGCAATGAACGAGCTGATTCTGATTGGATTGCGACGGCCAGTCAGTCCAGACGTTTTATCTAGATGTAAGAACAGAAGATTGCCTGTGGTGCTGGCTCAACATGCGCAAGCATTAGGCATGCAGAAAGGTAACTCAGGGGGCGCAGGCAAGTGTATCGAGCTGTTATACTGATAGAGCACAAGCAGTGCAACTAGAGCAAACCAGCAGTTCCTGCAACGCCGCCTTGGACTCGAAGGTGCAGTGCAGGCAGCGATACAGTTTGCCTTGCTGGAGTATCATGTTCTGCCTGCTTACCTGGACTCTTCTTTCCTCAAGGTGTGCCTGCTTTAGCAATACACTGTCAGTGAGATCTTCCCAGGAAGATGAGCTCGCCTCGTCGCAAGTCTGGGGAGGACACGACCGGGGCTAAGGGTGACGTTGCTTCATGATCGAAGCTTCCCACACCCTCTGCAGTCGTGAGGAGGGCCACTGCCAGTCAGAGTCCCAGGAGTTCGGGCCGAAATGGAAATTCCAGAAATTAAGCAATTCTTCTCATGTGGTGCCTGGTTATGGGCACCCTCCTCCTAGTGCAGAGTTGCGTTGAGGGCAATTTTGTTGTACCTTTGGATTTCCGGCTGGGTCAGCTGAGTGAAGCGAAGGCATTTGCTCCAGCTTATCAGCTTTGGAATGACCAGGGAGCGTTAGGTTCAGCGTGCCTTTTCATCAATGGTGCACGTGGCCAGGTGGCACAAAACGGACGCACATCTTACCAAATGTCAGACTAAGTTTCCACAGAACATTAAATGCAAGCTCAATGGCTTATTGACGGCTGTGCAAGATCCAACCTTGTATCGGTCCATCCGCAGAGAAATCTCGTGAGGTACTTTCTTCTCTCTCCGCGCCCGCCCGGAACTCAATCTGCGGCTTGTGCTCCCAGGCCCTGCAGAAGTGCGGAAGAGCCGCATCCCAGCGTGTTTTCTGCAGATGTGGCATCACGAAGCATGCATGACGTGCTTTGCATCCGCACGCTGCGCCTCGCACTAGCAGTGCCTGCATGATGGCCTCCTGGAGGCTGAGAATGCGCTCGCCGCGCACGCCGAAGTCCCGCGAGGCTGGCCCAAGCCGAGCGGTACTCCTCTCCTGAACAGCATATCCATGTCCTACCCGGGTTTCGTAGCGTTTCGACCTTGTGACCTGCCAAGGCCCTCCCTAGTGGGCCGCGAGCACCACAGACGGCCCGTGGGTCCCAGGAGTGGTTCTGGAGATCGGTCTGAGCTGGCCGTTACTTCGCAGTGGGCAGATCCAAGAAGATCCGTAACGCCTGGAGTTCGAGAGCCCACGCGACTGCAAACTTGGAGCAGGACAAGGACAAGCGCTTGGAAGACGCGGACGACCTCTGTCCTTCTGTGTGCTCCGAGAAGTTCAGTGTGTGCGCCGGGTCTGCCGATCCTTGTTGAGCCGGGAGCTTCGCAACTTGCTCGTCTGCAGGTACTCGGAGGCGAGCAACGTCTCCCGCTTGACCCAGCCCGGCTCTCGTCGGCACCAGAACCGGCTGCGAGTTGTGGCGCAAGCGCGTGGGCCTCCCCGCAGGCTCTCGCGGAAGAGCCTGGCGAAGCGCTGCCTCAGCTCCAAAGAGCTCGAGGAGCTCGAGGCCGCGGCCGCGGCCCGGGGGCGCCTTGGGAGCTGGCGGACTGCCCCAGCAACCTTAGCAGGTCATGGAGAAGCGCCGCGAAGTCAGTGCCGCTAGCCTCAGCCGAGGGTTTTTTTGCCTGCACCAAAGAGCCGAGATGGATCCGATACGTGCAACTTGTGCTTGCAAGCCTTTCCGCAGCTCAGGCAATGCTGCGCCGAAACCAAGTGAACTGCCGAAAGGTCCACCGCCTCCTTACGTCGAGTTGGTCTGCGCTTGTCCACAGTTTCGGGTTAAGCATTTGCAGGATTTTAGCTTCTTTGGGCATCTGGGCTTTGGCAAGGCTTGTCAAACAGCACCTCGTAGCCGAGGAATCACGAGAGCGAGCTTTCGCCTGTTTCGTGCGACAGTCGCTTGCTTTGTCCCGCAGCCCCTTCCTTCAGGGACCAGGGCCTCACCTACAAGGGCGGTTAGCCATGCCCCCAAATCAGGTCAAAAGCACTAACATTAAACAGAAGGACAGGACACACAATGAAATACACGATGTACACACGTATGTTTTCATCATACAGCCACAGATGTAGCTTCACCTTCTATCACAGTTGTGTGGTGAAGCGCTCGTTAAGACGCCGAACAGCCCCCGGCCACAGCCCGCAGAGACTTTCCAAGCCAAGCTATTCGTAGATCTCGCCGGCAACAGCACCTCAGCAGCGTCTTGTTTGCCTTGACGCCATGGGGGAGATGCCGGAAAGATCCCCCTGGGGCGCCTTGAGCAGATGTAGGGGTGCTCTTGTTTTCGATGTGGCCGGTGGGCCAATGTGAATGTGTCTTAGTCGCCAGCATCGTAAGGACCCTGGACTGAGTTCGGTCGAAGCATCTGTGGGGCAGAGGAGGCAGGGATTTCAGCCCGTGCAGCCTCTCACAAACTGCAACGCGAAAATGCGACCAGAGACCAAGCAAGGCGGTCGCTGCTACGATCGACCAGCACGGCACTCAAGCTTCTCACTCTTCTCGGGGAGGCTGTGATGGGCTGTGCAGCTCCCACTGTGCAGGATCCTCACGGATGGCGGCACACTGCTTTGGCAGAAGTATCTCGAGAGAAAGGCATTGAGATGCCTTGGAAATGAACGGCCAGAGCACTCGGACTTACCAAGAACTTGGCCCTCGTGTCCAGGCCTTCTCCTTCGCCTCCAATGCTATCTCTGATGCTTTGGTCAGCCGTCTGCGGATGCTCGCGGCTTAAGTTGGGGTACTCTCGCCGTGGTTCGCCAGCTGGCTCTCTTCCGCACGCGCGCACGCGTGCGCTCTCGGAGGTGCTACGTCAGCCATGATTCAGGGGAGACTGCAGTGGACGGGGCTCTGAGAGGCAGCCACAGGGCCAGGAGTTTCGCTTCCTTTTGGATTCGTGCCACGCTGAGCGACTGAGAGGCCCGGAATGGAACATTGAAGATGCCAGGGCCACGGGTTGAGACTGAGTCGACCACCGGCAGTTGCGTTATGTGTTGGAGCCCAGGAGCCACAGCCGTGCGAGATCGACAGCTGGGCGTTCCTTGGAGTCAATGTAGAAGGGCCATTTGTAAAAAGATGGATGCGGATCTTTGGGCTGACAAGAGCCTTCCCCTGACTCCTGACACCGGCCTAATTCGCAGGATACTTGTACGAGGGTTTAGGTTGAGGGGCATCATTGTTTCATTCAGACTTAGCTCTTCCACGAATTTCAACACAATAATCGAACACATCGCGTGCGAAAGCCTCGCAAATGTTGTTGACAAAGAACACCCCAGCAACTGTTGTCACGACACGCTGTCATGCCTGTGTTTGTGTGCGCATGCGGCTTTTTGTAGAGCAGCGGTTCGCAGGCGAATGCATTTGCCGGTTCGGCGAAGTGGGAAAGCCGACGAGGCCCCTCGGAGCAGTGTGGAACCGTAAACTGCTTGCTAGCAGTCTCGGGGCTTCAGTTGTGACAGGCCTCCACATCCGGGGGAAAGCTGCCGGGCAAGCCTCGACGAGGCTTCTCATTGCACAGCGAGCTGTTCGGACATGTAGCAGGAACAACGGATTCGCGGTGCGCACATGTTCCATGTCACCCTAAGACGAAATCCTGGCATTCTTCGTGGCCTCCAAGTCTTTGTGTGCTTGAATTTGCTTGCCAGGCCAGTTTGCGAGCACTTCGCGCCCCAAGGTCGGCGCCGTGCAGTGTAAGCGCACAGCATTCAGCATTTTCCATGAGGAGCAGGTCGAAGACGAGACGTAGTGACATAGTTTCGTCATGGGCCAGGGGTTCACGGGCTTGTCACAGTCAGGCCGCCAGTGGCCTGTCTTCTGTCAAGGAGCTTCCTGTCTGCAAAAGAGGGGATCTGTAGTGGAGGGTCCTACACCTTATAACAGCACTGCAGAGAGAATTCAAGCCTCTTCGGAATGAATCTGTGCATGCAGCATGCCTGATGCATGTTGATCCAAGGAAGGCTACCGACCAGCCTCCGAGGAGAACCGGGGCTACGAGACTGGGGGTAGTGGATGCTCGGTGGCTACAGCCGAACTGCCCGCAGCCCGCAGGATGTTCATGCTGGAGGGCGAGAACACTGTGGATCCTGAAGAGGAAAGGATGCGCGAGGCAGGCATTCGATCGGTTTGGTCTGAAATCAGGAAGAAAAAGCATGTGGCCAGGCCAAAGCCCAAGAGGAAGCAAGGAAACGTGACAAGGAACGCCTTGCTAAGGCCGGGTGGGGCAGGGGGTTGCGGTTGTAGGACTAGAGCTGGTTGAAATATGAGGTCAAGAGGCATTGACCTGTTGCAGCATCTTAAATGTGGTCATGAACTGGTGATTGTGTGGGCACGCGATGTCTGCCATCTGTCTCAAGCCGCTGTTCATGAAACTGTGACAGGAGTCCGAGAAGACGCAAGAGGAGGAGAGGCGGAAGGTGGGCCAAGACACGTCCTGCTATAGGGGTGGATCTCGTGTTCCCACGAAGCACCGCAGCGGTGGTGTCTGTTCTGTTTTATCTCTCTCTCGTGTGTTGTACCTGCCAAGTCTGGAGGCATAAGTCTGCTTGTATGTACTCTTTTGGCTTGGTTAGCCCTGCCCTGCCGTTCCGAGGCGCATCTTTGGAGTCCGCTGTAGGGGCACACTCCAGCCCGCCAGGTGCAACAGCTCCACGAGGAGATGTCAAAGCGGCCGCACACCTTCGACACCGAGGCCCTTCGCAAAAAAGCTCTGCAGCCGCCGGCACGGATCTCTCGTGTGTCAGGGGAATCTCATCTGGGTCGATGAGTTGAAGCCGGAGCGTCTGCCGAAGCCCCCCGGCCTCAGTCTTCAGACCCCGAAGCGGAAAGAGACTGTGTTATGCAGCTATGCCGCAGTGACCGTAGTGCGGAGAAGCTCCTGCAGTGTCCAGGCTCGTGGAAGCCTTCGGCTACTCCGTGAAACGTGAGCCGAAGATGCGGGTGGCCGGGCCGCAGAGAGACTCCCGCAGGGCCGTTTGGGCTCCGCTGAGACTGCGAGCACCTGAGACCCTCAGCCCCCCAGCTCTCCCAGCCTCCACTCGGCTCTCCCGGCTCCCGGCTGCCATAATAACAAGAAGCCTCACGAAGAAGAAGAAGAAGAAGACGAAGATGAAGAAGTGACACATCATATGTAAAAACATGGGGCCACGGCCACTAGAGCAGAGCAGAACTGGCAGGACGACAAGGCAGCCCTCGGCAGGGGCCATAGCCTTCCAGTCTTGTTCCTGCAGGCTGCTGCAGGCTTTTCGGCCTGGGTTTTTTGTCTTTGGAGTTTCGGGACTCGGGTGCCTGGCCGGGACCAAGGAACGACCATGGCCGCCCCCAAGGCCAAGCAAAGGCCAAGGAGGCACCAATTGCACTGGCCGCGTGCAGTTACTTTGGCGGCTAATGACATGCTTCCACACCTGTCCCAATGTATGCATTCTCAGCCCCCCGATCACTTGCCATCATCTAGGAGCTGCTTGAAGTTGCAAAAGAAAAGCAGCTGTGGACGCACGGCTGTGTATTCTCAGCAGCCCACC